TGTGTCTGTACTTACCAGCTGATAGTTGTTTAGGAGATGGTCTACGTTTATGTCGTCGTAGCTCTCCTGGAAGGTTTTGGGTTCATCCCTGGACTCCTCGCTGGTTACAGGATCTTCTAGGCTGTGTGGTGTAAGGACATCGGGGAGGAAAGAGGGTTTCAAGATCCACACATTTTTTTTTATTTTTAAATAAACACCTGACAGGCCTAAATAATCTGAAAGACTTGTCATTATCCCTTTCCATATTTCTTCACAAACCATAACAATTGTTCAGTGTATTTTCTTCTAGTTAGATGAGTGTACTACTTTTATTTGTGTATTAAGTGATTGAAGTGACAACGTTTTGAAGATGCACAAACATATATATTAACCAAAGTTGATTTTATTCCGTTTGAGGTTCTAAAGGTCTTTTTCTTCACATAATCAAATGTACAAATTATCACCCGTATGAATCTGACGGACTCTGTATTTATTGTTTTTGTAGAAAAGTAGCTTTACAAATTCATGTCCAGGTAATTCAAACAGTCTAGTCAATGAACCTTAAAATGAGGATTTCTTAAAGCAAATGCTGCATGTTTTGCACAATATTCAGCTAAATTTGCTTTACTCAATACCCAAATAAAAAATGTATAAATACATTTGAGCAGAGCCACTTTATCAATTTACCAACTGGTTATTGTGATTTGCAACCATCAAGCTCATTTATACATCAAGTAAAACCAGCATCCATCAAAATGGAGTGAAGTAATCAAAGTAAATGTTCTTTTAGCTCCATTATTTTCTTAATGTATTCTTCTGTTCATCCATAAGCAGCTTCAGAAACTAAGAAAGCTATTTGTGTATACAGTGAGATAAAAAGTGAACACCAGGACTGATTCCTACCTTCTCTTTCCTGATAAGACAGAGTTCAGGTACTTCTTGACAGCCATCTGTTTGCGGAAGCGGCTGTAGTTGTCTGTAAAGATAGCGTCTGTGTGACGCTTTGCTGGCTCGTCCATCAGCTCATCACTGAACAGAAGAGATGACAGCAGAGTGATACCATAGCTCAGAGGGCAGCAGGTCTTAATGCAAACTCAGTGCAGCTCATGGTCTGTGACTCATGTT